CTTGTCCCACAGGGAATTGAGTGAAGTTTTCTCTATGCTAGAGAAGATTTCACCTGTACCGCCTCTTGTCTTATACCTCTGAGTATTGACTTTAATATAGAGAAACACATTAAAGATCCAGGCGACCAGCCATTGTCATTAGCAGGAGGCCAGAGATGGCTCTCCTGGATTAGACATGGGGTTTGGAAGGTAAGTCACTTCTGGGACGAAGAGAAAAAAGACTGGATAAATGAGAATCAGTTAAGAACGCTACTAAAGGGATGTCACCGCCGGGACGAGAATCTGTCAGCACTGGTCAACAGTATCCCTGATAGCTGGAAAGAACTCTTAAAAGAAAACTTCTCATGGAAAGCAGGGGAATGGGGAGTGCTGACATAGGAAATAGTACCCATGAAAGCATATCAGTTCTCTCGCAAGCCCCCTGGCCAAGCTCGTGCTGGAGTCTTCATATCCTTCCCCATAGATAGATCTAACCCGAAGTCCCTTGCCATTCACAATACTGACCCACAAGAAGTAACTCTGAACTCCTACACGCTGAGAAAGGTGAGAGTATTGGGGAACTGGCCGAAGAGTATATTCCACACGGACACAGCAATCCAAGGCCTTGAATTCGACCCACATGAATGGGCGTGTCTCCCAGAAGCTAGCAGATTCTGTAAGAATCCTACTCAGATAACACAGTACACAGTTAAGATGGGATATAAAAAGTTTCTAAGAACCAAAGACCCCAAGCCATTAATCATAGAACGATGGACCAAACTGCTCGGTCAGAGAATGGAACCAATTGTTGAACTCCCCTGGCGGAAATACAAATCAATTCGCCCAGTTAAAATAAGAAGTCTCCAATGGCTGATCACCTACAATGCCCTCCTAGTGAATGCCTGGCTACATATGCAAAGGAAGAACAGCGATCCGAACAGCTCAGAAGAATGTGGGGCATGTTCAGACAACGAACAGGAAGACATGATACACTGCCGGATCACTTCTAAACTCGCTACTGACCTGTGGGCAAGAGCCTCAGCGCTTTGGGATCACTTATTTCCCTCTCCCCTACCCGAACACTCAATCCAACTTCTCCTATGGACTAACACCCCATCTCTTGCCCCCAAATCTGAACGCGTCTGGTTCGGAATTATCAGGAAGGTGACACTGTGGGCCATCTGGAAGGAGAGATGCAACAGGA